AGGATAGGTAGAACGAACATTTTATAAAGTTGCGTCTTAAGTGTGATCGATGAAATTTTTTACTTATGAAACCACATAAGCTATTAGCTTTTGGTGCTATTTGTTTAACATGAGGGGATAAGTCCAGAGTTTTAGTATAGCTAAGACCTAAATCGTCTATGGGTGTCGTCTATTTAATATGTTGGTCGGTAAAAATTATGGGATGAAGTTTTAATGGTCCAAAAATCAAGCGATGAAATTTTGTTGGTAAAAATGGCATTTGCCATTTAGAACTCCAGACATTTAGTTTTGTAAGATCTGACTCCATCGTTCAATGCACATTGATTATTGAATGCTTATTATGTGCATATGCGAGTTTTAAGTCGTCTGCATATAAAAATGTTTCAGCAGAAGTTGATATAGTGGATAACTCATGAATGTAAATGAGAAATAAGACGGGGTCTAGGATAGTGCCTTGAGAAACTCCACTGCTTATATGAGCTGGTTCTGATACTATATTTCGAATTTTTACTATTTGGAATCGGTTTTGAAGATAGGAGTTTAGAAGATCAAGAACGGGGCCGAATCCCGTGGAAGCATCCCTTTATTTTCCAGATATCCAAATGCCGTGGTAGCAAATTGAAAGATTTCCCTAAGCGTCAGCCAACAATCCAATCTCTTCACAATGCAAAACATCTGTAGGACATCCCCGCGAATTTGCCTCTTATTCAAAGGAAAGAGCTTCAGGTCTTTTAAACGTATTGCACATAGTTACCTTAGTAAGAGAAGAAGACTTTCGCCCATGAGCTCCCTATTCATATCCAAAAATCGCAAAAGCGTTCAACCGTAAAAATAGTACATAATACAAATGTAGGTTTAACATCGGTAGTGTGAGCCAGTTGCAAAGTGCTGCTACTGACACTATGTTCATTATATCTGTTACAGTTTCTCAGCAAATGAGAATAAAGTTTGTGTTTGAAAATGTCAACACTATCTGAGAGGACCACCTCATCAAGGAGTCCGTTTCACGCTCCGAAGACCTGGTGAGGAACTTTAATTCTCAATAAATTTGATGGGTTTTCTTTGAATTCTTTCGAGACTTTTCTGATATTGAACTGTCGATGGTCTCCAGGTCTGTATAGTGTACTCAAAATGCGGCCTCGTGATTGTTTCGACATTTTTTAGAAGAGACCTTCATCCACATCTAAAAGGCTCTCCATGTGGCGTGCAACATGGAAGTTGCGCTCGTCGCTACCCACGAACAACGGGAGGACGGTTTTAAGAAGTTCTCCATCAGCACACCTTGGTCCTATTGGATTTTCACTTTTGGCAGGGCTGCAACGTTGAGAGAATAGTTTCTACTTTTGATGGATCTGGTTGGATTGGCCAGGCAGAGTATTGTACACTTATCGACGTTGGCCTGCAGGAGTCAACGGTTTGACCACTCTTTCAACAGATTTAAGTTGATCTGTAGTTTATCCTGGCCGGCGGAACCCGTCTTTTCCAAGGGCTCGATGGGGCTACTCTCTTTCTTTATTCAGGGGTTCCATGTTGGCATACCATATACCAAATGTAGTCAAGCAAAGGTACCAAAAATCCACGCAAACTGTTCGGGACGAAAGCAAGCCTCATACAGTGCATGATACATTCCGACTTTTTGATGACTATTTTAGTAAGGGGGCAGTAAAGTTAAAGATATCTGAATACCTACGTCTATGTGCGAATCCACTTCTTTTGGAGAAATGTCATTAATGCATTCCTGATATTTTTCGAAACATTCTCAACCAGATTCCAAGCATAAGATAACAAAGTTGAGTTAATTAAACACCTGAAGCCACTGGCTGGACCAGACGTCGAAGTAAAACCCATTTTCCTCAAATAGCTGCGCATTATCACCTTATGGTTCTCCAGTTTTCCCTCGACATCCGCAAACTTAACGTTATTTTGGTTAAGGTTATTAGTACGACAGTTTATAAACAAATAAATAAATGGCAAGGATTTATAGTGTGGCCGCCAGAGGAAAGTAAGTAAAAATTAAAAAGAAACTACTTGCAAATTTCAATTAGGCCCAATTTCTGTGTACCCAAACATTCCTTTTATTGTGATAGCAATCAGCTGTTTTAATAGTTTTCTTGGTCTATTGCGGGGGTCGGCAACCCATGGCTCGCGGGCCATATATGGCTCTTTTGATGATCGC